GGACAATCACGAGCGAAATGACCAGGACGGTGACACAAGTAGCATGTTTTCTGAGGTGGTCTTGGCGTTGACCAGTTTGCAGTTTGAGGACGAGTCACGCCGGTTGGACCTGATCTATCAAAGCGTTGCGTTTGGGGGTAATTTCGCGGTTGTGCCCGGTACTGCTGCTGCTGATATGGTTGATGCTGCGGTCGTGGCAGTGATTGTGTAGTCTGTTTCCGTATTAACTGAGTTCCAAAACTGCCATGAGCTTCTGCATATTGTTCTGCGTACCGCGCCATGTCTGCGAGGCTTTTGGGTTGACGTTCCTTAAGAAATGTACTAAGCTCAACGTCGCAACTATTTAGGAATTGCTCTCTCAAGATCAAATCTTTCAGACCATTGTAGGTTTTGTCTGCCTTCGCCATATCGATCCATCTACCAAGTATATTATCAAGCCGTACTGCAAACTGGGGAAAGGTCTCTCCGACTTCAGGTTTTGCTGCACGGAAATTGACGCGAAATCCGTGTTCGGTTAGATGAAAACGTTTCAACAAGGCTTCTTTGAGAACGTCGTAATTCGTCACATCGGTCAACGATAATCTCGAATAAACCTCGAGGGCTTTTCCCTTAAGCAATGCGCTTAGGTTTATCGCCCAGTCGCCCTTATCCCACTCTTGCGAGATAGCGTATCGCTCATACCTTTGCAAGTACGCGTCTAAGTCATCGAGTTTGTCATCAAATGCTGGAAGTTTGGGAGCACGGGCCTTATAACGCGAGGATGGATTACCGTCATCGCTGCTTACACTAGCACGCTTAGCAGTCTCTAACTTAACTTCCAGTTCCGTCTTTTCACGTTCGTGTCTTCGTAATTCCAACTGATACGCGCGCTCGTCACGTGCTATTCGTTCATTTTCTCTTCGCAATTTTTCTCTTTCCACGCATACGAATTCGAGCAAAGCTGCACCTTCTAAGCCACATTCTCTACCGAGAGTAGTCAACTGTTCTATCTCACTCCCATCCATTTCACACACCGGTATCAACTCACCTAAAGATCCTGGAGCAGCAAGCGATGAAATGAAGCAAAGGGGAAGGGATTGCAACAGTCAGCCTGTAGACAAACAGCCAAAGAAAATACGGTTAATACATGTACATACCACATAACCTTCATTGATTTACAGGATATAATGGAATAACATCGCATTAGATTCGTCTCTGAAATATTAATCTCTAAATTGGTCTCTGAGTTTTCTGAAGTCTCGATGTATTCTTAAAATTCGTTTCCCGGACAAGCCCCCATAAATGT